AATAACTCTAACCAGAAAATCCCTATAAATAAAATTACATCTGTCAAGTTCGTTTTAACATACTCTTTAAAGTAATGACGCTTTTTTTTTGTTTCATCTTTTTTATAAACGGTAAAATTTAAATTTCTTGTATCTGGCAATTTCAATGATTTGGTTGATTATCCTTGCTAAAACTTATCTCTATTTAATTTTTCTTCTATAAAGCCTTTACCAGGAGAAGCAGAGAGCCTGTGGAGAGATACAAAAGTCTTGGGCGAAGTAACCAATACTCTAAGCAAGAGACGGAGAAGAGATGACTACACAGGCATTGCAGGCGTTTCGTCAAAACGAGTTGAAGAGCTCGAGGGTATAAAAAAGAAGACCATAGTTTTGGATGCCTGAACTCTTGTATAATGAACCAAAAGTTCAAAATAAATATATTCTTTTTTGTCTGAATATATTCCAACTATAAAGAGAGATCGCAACAGGAAAGGCCGACAAAACGATTACAAAGATATGTACTGATCTATAATAAAAATAAAACTTTTTAAAAAAATGCTAAACGTTCAAACACTTTGTTCTTTTTACTATTTCACGGTTTTTCTTGGTCTACTGTGTGCTTTAATATTCACAAATAAAAACAACCTGCTTGACTTATTCACGAAAATTTAACTGGAGTGCCGTACGGTTACTTCACCAAAAGATACAGCAAACGGCAATAGTGTTTTACTTAGAAAGGGTCTAAAATAATACTTAGGCACTTCCCCTTGAATATTATTATATAATATACATTGCGTCACTGATTATTATATACGTACTTATGCAATCACTATTTTAATTATCGTAACGGTAGTGCCTAAATTTGATCACGATCCCGTGACTATTTTGCAATAAATTACAGATTAGCAAGTATATATCAATAAATTTCAAGAATTGCAAAATTGGCGTAATGAGGTTATAGTAAAGCGTCCAGAAATGATGTTTGAATCAGAGAAAATGCGTTAACCTCGATAAAGCGAACAAGGATTATGTCAAATGAGTAGCTTCTGGAAAATTTAATCTGTACGTACAATACGTATCTAATCTTGGTGGCGATACTAGGTGAGTTTAGCTGACAGCGTGGCGTTCGTTGGAATTAAAATGGGCGGGATCTATTTGTGCACGTATTAAGTTAACTGGAAATAAATTTAGAATGCAAATCATAGCCGCGGCTCTTGTCGGCCCGACTAAAGAACGACTTGTCCAAAAAACAGCTCAGCTAAAAAGCAACACCATTATAGCGAACCGTTAGCCATTTGTATCTCTTGTTGGGATTAATGGTGCCTGACGAAATTATTTTGCAATGACAAAGTGGTTTCGTCGCGTATTCATCTTGATGGTTGACGGAACCTCTGACGATTAATGT